GGTGTATGTGAACTTTCAAGACTTATGGAATGAATTCTCTCTTACTTTTGGGCAGTTATGTGATAAGAAGACTTGTGCGTTCGTCGTAATGAGAATGGGAAATAAGGTTGTGTAGGGCTGGAGGTAGGATGGGCAGAGATCGTTAGGCAGACAGTGTCCTTTTTGCTGGTGTGTGTATGTGTGGGTGGGCTGGGGGGGCATAATTAGGCATCAAATATTGCTCTAGCAGCAAAATATTAGTAACCCTCATCTTTCACGATCATTTGCACTATTGGGAAATATTCCTTCCCGTTTCTTGATATCTTTTGTTTTTGACAAAGCGGTCATTTTATTTGGTTTTTAACAAAGCTGCCACAATCGTTCTTAAAATAATTTCAAGCCTTCATAAGGTCTGATGAAAATATAAATATAAATTCTCAGTCTGTATTTTGTACCTAGTCTGCATTTGTACCCGGTCTGCAGTCTGCAGTCTGCAGTCTGCATTTTGTACTGACCGGATTGGTATTGCTGTTTTTGTTCGAGCGAGCCTTAAGTGCGAACCGAAAATTGGAGCTCGAAAAAAATTCTAGTGGGACTATCTTGGCCTCTATGATTGATATGTGGACTTTATGTTGAAAAGCTCACGAGGAAAAGTACAGTGATAGAGCAATGATTACTTTATACCAACTGAAGACGAACGCAAATGCGCGGCTTGCCAATCTGGGCACATCTAATGCTCTTTCGGCAGCGTGTGTTGAAATGAACCCGTTACGGGTCTCTTAGGTGTGAACATTTCGGCTTCTCGATTCAAGTTGCATTTTCAGAAGTTCGCAAATGTGATTTGAGGTTTTTTTTTTTTATTAAATCATATAAACATGTTATTTCTTTCCACGTGAATTTCTGAACTTCATCGAAATTAATTTTGACTTTCACTAAGAGGGGATGGGTAGCTTGCGAGACTACTTCCGTTCACGGTCCACAATGCAACTTCCGTTTACGGAATACAACTTCTGTCCACGATCGACAACTTCCGTCAACATCTGCTCCACTACGATACCTCATTCATTGCTTTCAACATGAATGAGC